TCACCTTTGCTATGTAGTGTAATGTCCTATTTACCTCATGAATCACCCTATTACAAGATACTGATCCACCATTATTCTTTGTATTTTTTCTCTTCCAAAACTCCTATGTAATCACTACCGGTATTGCCTGAATCAGTGGCTTAAGCTTTGGAAAGCATTGAATATTCCAGCATGTCTGTATAAGTTGATGTACTTGCACTAAGTTAACTATTATACCTGTTGCTTGAAGAAATATTTTCCACACCCTTGTTGCAGTATCACTTGTGAGGAATAGGTGTTGAAATATATCTTCTTTTGGTGACAAGCAGCACCAACATTTAGACACTACCATATCGCCATATCTCCTTCAAAGGTCATCAGTAGGGATCTTACCTTTTCACAATTTCCATAAGAAAAATAAAATTCTGAAAGGCGTGCCTTTGATCGATAACATCTTGTATTCTTCATTTGTATGATCTCTTTGCCTTAGAATCTGCCATGTACTACCCACTGTAAATCTACCTGATATTGTTGGAATCCACTTAGGAGTATCCCAATATTCATCACTGCCATCAAAATATATCTCTTGCCTTATGTGATCTGCAATATCATCTGGAAAAGATTGCTCCAACATATGCTCTTTCCAGTTGTCCGGATTTCTCAAATCAGCCACTTCCTCTAGTTATTCATTAATAAGAAATTCTGGAGGCATAACATGATACAATGCACCTAATACTATCCAATTTGCATGCCATACATTGGTAGAACCCCTATTCATCTGCCATAATATCTCATATTCCACCTCTTTCCTTGCTTCTAACATTTTTCTCCATAGATGTGAATCTTTTTCTAAATTGAACTATTGTAGGTATCTCTTTCTTACAGTACTTGTTCCGCATGTAGTTTGACCATAGTGACTTTGATATTTTGAACATCCACCATTGCTTGGAAAATAGAGCCTTAGATACATCAAACAGTGACCTAAAACCTAGGCCACCTTCCTCTTTTGGTAGGCATAAGTTAAGCCATTTTGTCCAGTGCCTACTTCTTCTTTCTTCTTTGTTACTCCAAAATAATCTAGAAAAGGTCTTGTGCAAGTGTTCCAACACATTATTAGGGGGATCCAGTACTGATAGTATATGTGTTGGCGTACTTTGAAGAACACTAGTTATAAGAATTTTCTTACCATCATAAGATAGTAGCTTTCCTTTCCAGGAATGCAGCTTTGATTTCACCTTCTTGATCACCTCATTATAATAATCCTTCCTCTTTCTTGTATAGAAAATAGGACATCCTAGGTAAGTAAATGACATCTCACCTTTTTGAAAACCAGTAATTGCACCTACAGAGGAGATAATAGATCCTGCTATCTTAGCATGCATGTAGTATGAACTCTTTGTCTTGTTAATAAGCTCTCCAAAGGTTTGTTCATACTATGCGAGGACATCAACCACCTTCTTTAAAGAGTAAGGATCAGTAGACACAAAGATTATTGTATCATCAACATAAGCCAAATGGTTCAATGGATTTGTCCACTTTGGCATCCCAAATCCTTTGAAGTTTTTATCTTCAAATAACATATTCAATGATCTTGATAGTACCTCAGCTGATAGTATGAACAAAGCTGGAGATAAAGGATCGCCTTGTTTGATACCTCTTGTTGACTTGAAAAAACCTGAGGCTTGGCCATTAACAATCACTGAATACCAATTGTTTGATATTAGATTCCATATCATGTTAATGAAGTTCTCAGCAAATCCCATCTTTCTCAACACATGAAGTAAGTATTTCTATGACACCCTATCATAAGCCTTGGCCATATCCAATTTGATGACAACATTGACTCGTTTCCCCCTCAATCTTATATCTGTTACAATCTCTTGTGTAAGCAGGATATTCTCAAATATACTCCTTCCTTTGACAAATTCAGATTGATTAGAGGAGATCAAAGAAGGTAGAATCTTCTCTAATCTAACATACATTACCCTTGAGATCACCTTGTTTATGAAATTACTTAGACTTATTGGTCTTAAGTCTGAGAATGTATGAACTAACTGCTTCTTATGTATTAGTACCAGATTGGTGTGAGTAACTAATTTTGGAAGTGAGGTCCCATTGTAAAAACTCTGCAGCATGTTAACCATGTCTTCACCTACTATATCCCAACACTCTTGATAAACACTCCAATGAAACTATCAGGTCCACTTGCATTGCATCCACTCAGAGCAAAGACTGCTCCCTTAACCTCCTCTATAGTTGTCATCCTATATAGCTCCATGTTTTTATCCAGAGATGCCATAGTAGGAACAATATTCAGAAGATCAAAGTTTGATGGATCACTTTCATGACTAAACTATCTTTGGAAGAATTCTATATAGCTGCCTTGGCCAACTGGTCATGTGTTTCAATCCACATACCATCTTCATTTTGGATCCTCTTAAGTTATAGTTTCTGCCTCTTGCCATTGACATGGTTATGAAAGAAACTAGTATTTCTATCCCCTTCTGAGAACCATGTCATACCTGCCTTTTGTTTCCAGTAGTGTTCCTCTAAGCTCAAGTATTTCTTCATTTCTGCATGTGCTTTTTGGAGCACAATTCTGTTGTCAATTGTTGGTTCCTCCTCAAATAGCATCTCCTTGATTCTAATAATATATTTTCAAATTGCCAGCTACTTAAATATATCTCAAAATGTGAGCTTACACCATTTAGATAGTGCAATCTTCACTCTTTTCAATTTTTGCTTGAGCATCAGGAATAGATCTCTCAGGAAGTCTGCAAACCAATTCTGTCTGACTATATCTTTGAATGTCTCATGCTTTGCCCAGAAATTGAGGAATCTGAAAGGCTTCAGAAATTGTGCTGCATTCTTTCCACAATTCATCAATAAAGGTGCATGATCTGAGCCAGTTCTTATCATATGGTCTACCTCAATGCTAGGAAACAAAGTTTGGAAAGGCTAATTAACAAATATCCTGTCCAACCATTTGAACATACACTCTGCATTTGCCCTCCCATTCCACCAAGTGAAGGGACTGCTTGTATATCCAAGATCAAACAATCCACATGAGTTAACACAAAAAGAAAAGTCTTTATATTTTGGAGGATGTACCGGCAGTCCTCATATCTTCTCCTTTTCACTAAGAATCATATTAAAATATCCTCCGACTACCCAAGGCAAGTCCATGTCACTTGCAAGATAATATAGGTTATCCCACAGTTTTAATCTTTTCAATGATGAACATTTTACATATACAAAAGTCATCATGATATGGTTACCTATATCATGATAATACACCTTGATGGTCAGCTGCTGCTCAATATCAACCAATAAATCCCATTCCACCGATGTATCTAAGAATAACCATATTTTCCTATTGACATTTGATATAGCATTTTCCATGCCTAGTTTTCTCCTGTATTTCTGAATTAGTCTTTTCTTTTGAAATGGCCCCATAAGTCCTACGATGAAAACCCATGTTCCTGTTGCATGTTGATGACTCTCTGAAAGTCCTGTTGTGTCTTAACAGACCTTATGTTCCATATCAACGTTTTGATCATCATTTAGTCATTGAGACTGCCCTTTTGGGCAAGATTCTTGTAGGGTGCAGAGCTTCTTTATTCTGTTGTTTCTTACTCTTCTTACCACTTCTAGCTGATACTCTAGGTGATAAGCCTCCTTCTCTAGCTACTGCTTTAAAATTCCCAGTAGTAGATTCATCATCTCCCTCATATTGTTGTTGTTGCTATTCCACCATTGCAATGTGACTTTCCACAGGCATAACCTTGTGGGTGATTATATCATGCAACACCTACTCAGGAGATTTTGATGGCATACTGATCTATATTTGCATTGGGTGTCCATCACTTGAGGCCCATGCCAAAGGCATTGTCTCAATTACACTTGATTCCTTTGGTATTATGGATTGTTTAATTTCATCATTATACCTCTTTGTTACCTCATTTAGTATTTCAGAGTGCCTCTCCATGTCTCCCCCATTCCCCTTCAACACTTGAAGATCGTATATGGAACACATATTTGAATTTACTGTGTTTGTCTGTACCTCGTTCTCAAGCTCCTTATGTACCAAAGCCCCTTCATTCTCTAGCTCCAACATCATGAATTGCGCATCCTCTCCGTCTACGTCTCCTTTGTTGTAGTCAAATTCATTTCCAGTATTCATGTTCCTGGATTCATCTTTGTCAAGTATGCAGTGAGAGGACTTGTTGAATTGACATTGTTGCAAGTAAGTGTTACATCCCGTGCTTTGATATTATGATGAGTCGTAGTAATCCATATGAACTTGAAGGGATTAAAACCATTCATGAGATTATAGAGGATTTGTGACTATGTTATTATAAGACCCCGTAAGTTTAACAACCTTGATACCGTTATATACATTTGATATGGTATTTTGAATGGAACATTTTTGTAAAAGAAGGTTTGAAAAATATGATTTTATATAGTTATTAATATTACTACTTTCGAATATGCTTTAAATTATACACATAATATGAGAAAGTTTATGAGATTTTCTTTATTGTAAAGATAGCAATTATTTTCTCACAAGAAAAGAAGGTTATTTTTTTACCATTTTAAGAATTAAGCGTATGGAAATTTGTATTCTTTATATGAGACTAAGAAAATTAGAAGTTGAGAAAATATATGTATTTTTACATGGATGTTGTAATGAAATAATAGTGTATACATTGATTTTATATGGTACCATAATTTATTAATATTTTAATAGTAGTATTTTAAGTAATTTAGGATAATTCTCATTATGAGAATAATTAGATAATTATTGATTTAATGAAAGATTAGCAAGTTAATTAAGAAATTTATGGATAAGCTTAATTAAGATATTTGGATAAGCTTCAACGTGACAGCAAGGCCTTAGGTCATTGTGACTCTTTGGTCTTGATAATTATGTGGTATGTGTAGGGAACTTTTGGATAAAATAATCCCCAAAAGTGGGGCCCACAAAATTCTATTTTGGATAGAATTTCATATATCTTGTAAGTAAGACACTTATGTTGCTAAGCAACGGGTGAAAGTCTCAAACAAGATTTCATATGAATCTTTTATAAAGTGAGGAAAGAAAGCATCAGCAAGTATGATACAAATTTTGGCATGGCAACATGCGTACTTCATCAAATTCATACAAGACTACAAAGTCACAGATGGAATTCAAGGATTTATATGATCCCTTACAATGCTTAGCAACGTGAGAATTGCAATCTTAAGGGAATACGGTGCAATCTTTCTCAAGAATATCATACGGAGTTTTCCCTACTCCGATCTTGCCATCACGTATTTTATCGCGATTGTCGTGTGTTAGAGGGATTGTCAAGAGAACCGACTCAGGTATGTTAAGGCTATCCCTTATTTTTTTTGGCATGATCCAAGTAATGATACGTAAATGTAATGTTATTCCATAAATGGTTCTACTCTTAGCAGTTAAGGATGTCTATGTTATTCATTTCGGTAAAGTTATATTCAAGTATGTCTAAGTACGTTCCTAAGTCTCTATTGAGGTATATGATAAAGATGTTAATGTTTATAATATAGTGATATATGCATCTTTATACATTTACCACCGAGCTACGCCCGGTCGGGCAGTCATACATTTACCACCGAACTACGACCGGTTGGGCAGTTACATATTTACCACCGAGCTACGGCCGGTCGGGCAGTCATGCATTTACCACCGCGGCAGTTACCACTAATCAGTTGGGTAGTCATGCATCATACGATATCAATAATAGTCTCAAAGAGAAGCATTATATATATAAGTATACTAAGTATGTATATATGGTGGCACTTCAGAGATTCGGGTTGATTCTTGTATGTCTTTAATTAATGTTGACTTATTGTTATGTTTCAGTTCCGCCTTACATTCTCGGTATATTATTCGTACTGACGTCCTTTTATTGAGGACGCTACATTCATGCACGCAAGTCCTGATAGACAGGTTGAAAGTCCTCCAAGTAGGTTATCAGCTCAGCGGAAGGTATTGATGCACTCCATTTGTTCCAGAGTTGCTTATGTGGTCAGTATGATTAGGATATGTATTGATTAGTATGGCGGGGCCCTGTCCCAACCTTTATGACATTTATATATCCTTAGAGGCTTGTAAACATATGTCGTGTACGTGAAAGATTGTACGGCCTTGTCGGCCTATGTTCAGTGTAATTTTGGTCTTATAGATCCAATGTCACATATATAGGTTTTTATGTTAGATTGGGTCGCCTTATATTGAGTATAATCCTTATGTTTATTCCGGTTAGCCCAGTATAGCCCGTTTGGCCTATTTGCCAATGATAGTACTATAAGTAAGATATGTTACGTTGGTACTCAGTTGAGTAAGGCACTGGGTGCCCGTCGCGGCCCATCGGTTTGGGTCGTGACAAAAGTGGTATGAGAGCAAGTCGTGTCCTAGGGAGTTTACAAAGTCGTGCCTAGTAGAGTCTCAGTTATGGGTGTGTTACGCGCCACATTTATCATTGAGAGGCTATAGGGCATTTAGGAAATATTACCCTTCTTTTTGTTTCCAGATCGTGCCATAGAGCTGAGTCGTAAGAAGTCAGTATGAAGCTTTCACAATATTCAGTATGCACCAGAGGTGCAGGTATCACAGTAGAGCTTTAAGGCGTAATTTCCACCTATGTGGAAGGGAGGTTATGAAAGAAACAAAAGATATGACGCGAGATTGAAAAGTGAGTAACGTAAAGGTGAAGAAGGTACGAAATACTCAAGTACAAAAGGTTGTGAATAGTCGAGACATCAGATAGAGGTTGGATTTTAGTTTAGTTTACAGAGGAGACCCTAGCAAAAGTTTTGTAAATCTTTAAGAGTTAACATTCGAGGACGAATATTTCTAAAGGGGGGAAGGATGTTACATCCCGTACTTTGATATTAGGATGAGTCGTAGTAATCCATATGAGCTTGAAGGGATTAAGACCATTCATGAGATTATAGAGGATTTGTGACTATGTTATTGTAAGACCCCGTAAGTTTAACAACTTTGATACCGTTATATACATTTGATATGGTATTTTGAATGGAACATTTTTGTAAAAGAAGGTTTGAAAAATATGATTTTATATAGTTATTAATATTACTACTTTCGAATATGCTTTAAATTATACACATAATATGAGAAAGTTTATGAGATTTTCTTTGTTGTAAAGATAGAAATTATTTTTTCACAAGAAAAGAAGGTTATTGTTTTACCATTTTAAGAATTAAGCGTACGGAAATTTGTACTCTTTAAATGAGACTAAGAAAATTAGAAGTTGAAAATATATATATATTTTTACATGGATATTTTAATAAAATAATAGTGTATGCATTGATTTTATATGGTACCGTGATTTATTAATATTTTAATAGTAGTATTTTAAGTAATGTGGGATAATTCTCATTATGTGGATAATTGGGTAATTATCGATTTAATGAGAGATTAGCAAGTTAATTAAGGAATTTGTGAATAAGCTTAATTAAGACATTTGGATAAGCTTCGTGGCAGCAAGGCCTTAGGTCATTGTGACTCTTTGGTCTTGATAATTATATGGTATGTGTAGGGAACTTTTGGATAAAATAATCCCCAAAAGTGGGGCCCACAAAATTCTATTTTGGATAGAATTTCATATATCTTGTAAGTAAGACACTTATATTGCTAAGCAACGGGTGAAAGTCTCAAACAAGATTTCATATGAATCTTTTACAAAGTGAGGAAAGAAAGCATCAGCAAGTATGATACAAATTTTGGCATGGCAACATGCGTACTTCATCAAATTCATACAAGACTACAAAGTCACAGATGGAATTCAAGGATTTATATGATCCCTTACAATGCTTAGCAACGTGAGAATTACAATCTTAAGGGAATACGGTGCAATCTTTCTCAAGAATATCATACGGAGTTTTCCCTACTCCGATCTTGCCATCACGTGTTTTGTCGCGATTGTCGTATGTTAGAGGGATTATCAAGAGAACCGGCTCAGGTATGTTAATGCTATCCCTTATTTTCTTTTGGCATGATTCAAGTAACGATATGTAAACATAATGTTATTCCATAAATGGTTCTACTCTTAGCAGTTAAGGATGTCTATGTTATTCATTCCGGTAAAGTTATATTCAAGTATGTCTAAGTACGTTCCTAAGTTTCTATTGAGGTATATGATAAAGATGTTAATATTTATAATATAGTGATACATGTATCTTTATGTATTTACCACCGAGCTACGGCCGGTCGGGCAATCATGCATTTACCATCGAGCTACGACCGGTTGGGCAGTTCCACATTTACCATCCAGCTACGGCCGATCGGGCAGTCATGCATTTACCACCGCGCTACGGCCGGTCGAGCTGTTACCACTGATCAGTTGGGCAGTCATGCATTATACGATATGAATAATAATCTCAAAGAGAAGCATTATATATATATATATATAAGTATACTAAGTATTTATATACGGTGGCACTTCAGAGATTCAGGTTGATTCTTATATGTCTTTAATTAATGTTGACTTATTGTTATGTTTCAGTTACGCCTTACATACTCGGTACATTATTCGTACTGGCATCCTTTTGTTGGGGACTATGCATTCATGCCCGCATGTCCTGATAGAAAGGTTGAGAGTCCTCCAAGTAGGCTATCAGCTCAGCGGAAGGTGTTGGTGCGCTCCATTTATTCCGGAGTTGCTTATGTGGTCAGTATGATTAGGATATGTATTGATTAGTACGGCGTGGCCCTGTCCCGGCCTTTATGATATTTATGTATCCTTAGAGGCTTGTAGACATATGTCGTGAACGTGAAAGATTGTACGGCCTTGTCGGCCTATGTTCAGTGTAATATTGGTCTTATAGGCCCTATGTCACATGTATAAGTTTTTATGTCAGAATGAGTCGCCTTATATTGAGTATTCCCTTATGTTTATTCTGGTTAGCCCATGACGGCCCGTTTGGCCCATTTGCCAATGATAGTACGATAAGAAAGATATGTTACGTTGGTACTCGATTGAGTAAGGCACCGGGTGCCCGTCGTGGCCCATCGGTTTGGGTCGTGACAATAAGTTTGTTGTTTCTCCCTGTTGACACTGTCAGTATTCTCCTTTGATGTAATAGATCCTCTCAATTTGTTCTTATCATTCTCCTTAGGCATCTCATATTTTTTATTTGCAACTGTGGTATGCGACTGAGTTTCTGGCCAGGATTTATTAGTGGTAGGTAAGTTCCCATTAAAAGTTCTATTCACCTATTGTGCAGTAGTCTCTTTTAAACCTTCTCCAATACTGCCTTTGCTTATTGAAGCCGCTGCCGTAGTATTCTCTTTTAACCCTTCTCCAGTACTCTCTTTTAAAAGTTGCTGGTTGTTCTCAGCCAGGTCACTTTCTTTCATCTCAAGTGCTGCATATTTGTTAGCAACTTGGATTAGTTTTTTGTTAGATGCATCTGTTTCCCTTCCAGATCGATCAACTTCTAGTATTTGCCTGCCAGTCTTTCTCTGAACCTCCGTCTGCTTTGTATCATTTTTTATCCGATTATCTCTTACTTCTTTCCATTGTTCCCCTATGTTACCAACAACCTTACCACTTGACAGGATCTTAATTGGACGGTTATTACTTGTCTTCTTCCTTCCATTTTGCTCAGCACCTTCCCCACCATGAACAGTTTGCACAGCGCGTTTGCCTTTATCATTGTGGTCCATTAATTCTGGATGAATATGCCAACATTCAATTTGATCATGCCCTTGTAATTTACATTCTTTGTAATACTTAGGAAGCTTATCGTATTGAATTTTAACCCACTCAGTCCTTATCTCCCCAGTTGTCTCATTAAAAATATCCATTCGAACTTTCTGAGGTAACTCAGCTAAAAGATCAATAAGGAACTTAACCCTCGCACAGCTGGGTCTCGTCTTGTTGATAGTAGCCCTATCCAGATGCAGGGGCTTCCCCACTGCTGAAGCTAAAGATAATAAACTTTCTTTGACAAAATAAGTCGGCAGTAAACCTGGAAACGAAATCCAAGCCCTAGCCATTGGAGTTTCTTCCCCAACTTTGAATTTTGCATCATAGATCAAAGGTCGCAATTGGTACTCACACCCATCTTTAGCTTTAACATAGTAGGCATTTTCGGACGTAAAATTAATGAAATCTTCCCATAATGTCAATCTAATCAAGACATGTCGATCTCTTAGGAGGCCAACACTACATTCCCCTTTGATTCCATATTGGCTTGGAATGCTTGTACGTAACTCCAGGATGTCTGGCCAACCATACGACAATTTTCCGACCATTGCATATTGTAACCCTTCGATTATATTCATGCGATCAACCTCAGCTTCTGTAAATCTGACAACAAGTTCTCTATTTAAAATAGTAGCCCGTCACATTGGGATAGGATAAACCGTGGGTGTTGAATAATGGTTCAAGTGCTTGGGACTGTTTTGTTGAGCTGGTTTCAAAATGTTACTATAATCTAAAGGCTGGGATTTGTTGTTTGTGGTCGTAGTAGTTGGGGCGATGGTTGTTGAAGGCTGGTTTAGTGGAGCTGGTAATTTGTTTATCTAGAGCTGGGTACTTTGGCTAGAAATTACAAATGTTTTAACAGTCTGTGGGTTCTTTGGTTTATCAAAATTGGTTGAGATATTTAGGTATGTGGATGCAAGTGATGACTTGGTGATTTGGGTTTGTATGTTGGGTTGAGGGACCTGTGCAACATTGTCGATAACTGCATATTTTGGTAGAAATTGTTCACCACAGTTGTGAGCTAAACCTTGAAATGCGACTTGACGATTAATCTCCTGATGCCCCTGGACAACATACGGGATGGCTTTATCCCCTAAAGGCACTGTAGCGTTGGCTTTGACATTTTGTCGAATAGCTGGCAGGCTCAAATCAGCGGGAACCTCTTTTTGTATTGTTTTGTAGTTTGCCTCAGAAGAGTGTGGATGTGAAATGTTTGTAGCAGTCTGCTTATGGTCTTGAGCTAGTTGGATTACCACTTCTCCGTTTAGCTGTTTCTTGTTGGATAATTGTAAGTCTTCTTTGTGTGCGATTGGGGCATTGAAATGTTCTGAATCTATGCGGAGATGAAGAGCATGAGCTGGAAAATCTCCACTGTTTGGAGTCTCACAATTTGTCGTGATGGGCATCAATGTTTCGCCCTAGTATGCTAGTTGTTTTTATTGAACTACCCACAATTAAGTTCACATTGATTCTGTTTAGAGCCGAGTGGGAAGCCCAAATCAAAAAGTTAAACTATCATTATACCCTTTTTAAAAATATATATTTATATTTCATATTTTATAATATTAATTAAAGAAATATTTAAAAATATATATTTATATTGTGCCTTTTCTAAATACTTGTGTTCTTTCATTACTAACTAATTTTTTTAAAAATAAACCATTTTGCCGTTAGAAAAGAACCGTTGCTTTTCCAAAACAACACGTTTAGGGCCTGCTTTTCAACTAATACCCCTATTGAATTATATTATCTCATTGCAGAAAAATTGGAAGAATAGAAGCGTAACTTTCCAGTACATGAAGACATGGGAAAATTGATGGAGATGACATTTTGTCATATACTTATGACTGCTTATTGAACATATAAATGATGCCACTAAACAAATTATTTTGCTTTTAGCAAAAAAGAAAGTCAGTAGCAGGGATTTACTTGGTTTACATCTAATTATTATTATTGTGAATTTTATCTTGATTTAAGAAAAGGATAGAGATCTATGTGGATTGCATTTGACGTATTAATTTTATTTCCTTCCTCTAGGAGTTTTACATTATGACGTAACAAAAAACTCTGGAAAAATGCATGGTTGACATGTAATCATCCAATTTTCTCAACGAATTCACCTATCATAGTATAAATTATATATTCTTAATTTGTTTTGAAAAACTCGTGACATTAAAGAAAAAATTCCGGATAAAGATCTTCCAAGTCAGAAGGATTACTGGGTGAGAAGTTTATGCAGTGAATTTCTACATACTCATTACATATGCATATTAGTCTACTTATCTTCATTTACATGTGAAGGTTTAACGGGTTAATTTAGTGAATATGAAACACTGAAATAAAGGACCGGCAGTAGTTTTTATTGTCGATACTAAGTGTAACGACCTCGCCGGCCGTTTTGAGTATTACAGCCTCGTTCCCTATTTACTTCTCAATTTATGATTTATAGTTGTTGTATGACTTATCGGGTTAGTTGGTTCGGGCCCGGAGAGATTTCGGAATGAATTGAGACACTTAGTCTCATAATGGAAAGTTTAAGTTGGAAAAGTCGATCGAATATCGATTTATGTGTAAACAACCTCAGATTTGAATTCTGATGATTCCAATAGCTCCGCATGGTGATTTTGGACTTAGGAGCGTGTCCGAAAAGCTATTTGGAGGTCCGTAATGGAAATAGGCTTGAAATAGCAAAAGTCGAATTTTGGGAAGTTTGACCGGAGATTGACTTTTTGATATCGGGATCGAATTCCGATTCTCGAAATTGCAGTAGGTTCATGGGGTTATTTAGGACTTGTATACAAAATTTGAGGTCAATCGGATATGGTTTGATAGGTTTCGGCATCGTTTGTGGAATTTGAAAGTTTAAAAGTTCTTTAGGCTTGAATCCTGGTGTAATTGGTGTTTTGATGTTGTTTTATGTGATTCGAAGGTTCGACTAAGTTCGCATGGGGTTATATGAATTGTTGGTATGTTTGGTTGAGGTCCCAGGGGCCTTGGGGGTGTTTCGGATGCCCATCGGAAGGAAATTTAGACTTAGGCATTGTTGGTTTCTTCTGGTGTTCTGGTGTTTCGCACCAATGGTGGGAGTCCGCAGGTGCGGCCCCGCAGAAGCGAAGAGGAGGACGCAGATGCGGGCAAGGCTGGATTGGACTGGAAGCGGAGGTGCAAGGTTAGGAGTGCATTTGCAAAACCGCAGATGCGGAAGGAGAGGCGTAGATGCGGAAAAAGGCTTGAGTAGGAAGGATCGCAGAACCGAGCAGGGCCCACAGGTGCGCACTCGCATGTGCGAATATGTGACCGCAGATGCGGAATCTGGGAGCTTAAGTGGGATCCACACCTGCGATGGAATTTTCGTAGGTGCGGCATCGCAGATGCGATAGGAGGTCCGCAGGTGCGGTTTTTGCTGGGCAGAACCTATAAATAGAAGACTTTGAGATTTTTTTCACCATTTTCACATTTTGGAACTCGGATTTTGTAGGATTTTGAGGAGGATTTTGAAGTGTTTGCTGAGGTAAGTTTCTTGTGCCTATTTATCTTCAATAATGGTGTTTACCCACTGATTTTACACTTAGTCGGTGAGTTTTTGAGGTGAGATTTGGGAGATTAAGGCTTGGGAATTGGAGTGGCTTTTGGGGATTTGGAGGATCAAATGATGTCGGATTTTGATAAATTTAATATGGTTAGAATCGTGAGTGGATGGGTGTTCACATTTTTGTGATTTTGTTGAATTTCGAGACGTGGGCCCAGGGGCATGTTTGAGCCTATTTCGAATTTTGGCTTATAGTTTCATGTTTTTCTTGTGGAATTAATTCATTTAGCTTATATTAATTATATCGTAATGCTTGTGGCTAGATTCGGGGCGTTTGGATAGTGATTCGAGAGGCAAAGGCATTTCGGAGTAGGATTTTGCACGGTTTGAGGTAAGTAACAGTTTTAATATGGTCCTGAGGGTATGAAACCCCGAATTTATTAGATTATGTGAGTATATTGGAGGTGACGCACATGCTAGGTGACGGACGTGTGGGAGTGCACTGTAAGAATTGGGACTTGGTCCATTCCGTGGAATTGTAAAGTTGAATAACTTATTGCTAGCTATATGGTTTCCCTGTGTTATAGAAATTTGATTGCAAATCAAGTTAGAAATCATGCTTAAGCTACGTGATGGTACTGTTGGGACCCACAAAGGTCGCGTACATGTTGAACTATCTGCTTAATTGTTATTTTGTACTCAGTCACAGTTTATTTTTTTCTTTACCTCAGTCTCTATTGTTTATTATTGATGCATCATATTATTATTGTTTGGGCTAATCTTTATGATTTCTGAGAGCCCGAGAGACTAGAGAGATTCACAACTGAGTGAGGCCGGGAGCCTGTTTGTGAGGTATATGATACGGTATCACGTGAGTTGTCCGTGCAGCATGTGAGTTATCCGTGCGAATTCTGATATGATACTATAGCACGTGAGTTGTCCGTGCGGATCTTGATATGATACTATAGTACGTGAGTTGTCCATGCAGCACGTGAGTTGTCCGTACGGATTATAGCGCTTTGGCTGAAAGGAGCCCCTCCGGAGTCTGCACACCCCCAGTGAGCACAGGTACCTATTGAGTGTGAGTAGTGAGGGCTGAGAGCCGAGTGATTAAGCTGTTATGACGAGTTGAGTGTCTATTGCCCTGAGAGGCTGTTCTTATTTTTTTTTTCATTTGTTGATGCACTTAGTTGCTATCTGTTATTGTTGTGAAATTTTTGAAAGATTCTATATCCGGATTACCTGCACTGTAACTGTATAAACTGATTTGACTTGAACTGCCAGATTTGAAAACATGTCTATTCTTTGCTGGAATTATTGAAAATGAACTGTAATTGTATAGCTCGTCACTACCTTCTCAGTTCCTTATTTATTTTTATTACTTACTGAGTTGGTTGTACTCACGCTACACCCTGCACTTCGTGTATAGACCCAGGTATTCCCGGTCGTAGCGGGTGTTTATATTTGAGCAACTGATTCCAGATACTATCGAGATAGCTGCATGGCATCCGCAAGCCTTGGCTCTCCTTCATTATCTTATTCGCATTTCAGTTCTTATTCTTTAGATGTTATATTAGACTGCTCCTGGTATAGATGCTCATGTATTCAGTGACACCCCGATGTCGGGCTATTTTTCTGCACTTATGCTTTGGGTTTTACCCCATTTTTATGAAAGACTCCGGTTATTTTAAATATATTAATTTATTTCTGTTAAATGTTGAAAGTGTTTTGGAAATGTCGGCTTGCCTAGTATCACGATAGACGCCATCATGACGGGTTAGGTTTTGGGTCGTGACACTAAGGAAGAAGATAGTCTTAACCACTTCTCATTTTTTAATTGTTGATACATTTGGTTTGTGCACCGTTATGTTATTAGTTTCTTTAATCTTTTAAATATTTAATTTATATTTTGGATAGATTGAGGTCATTGGAGGCTATTTAGTTGGTGTTTTTTTATACGTTGCAAGGTTGGAGAACTTTCCGTTAGCGAGGTAAGTGAGACTTTAATCTTTGATTCTTGCGTTTTCTAAACCTGTTTTGAAAATATATTTTGTCTGCTTGGTCCGTTCCTTCAGATTAGAGCAGTTTTGATTATTGAGGTAATCAAAGAGACAATGTCAAGGCGACGACGCAAAATTTGGAGAGCTTGAATATATTTGATGTCGTTATACCGGGTTCTACTTTCTTAACTTTATTTATTATTTGTTTCTCTATTACGGGCTTATTATTTTCTTATGAAGTCTTAAATTCTATGAATGATAGGGTAAATATCTCATAAAAGCGATTACCTCAAAATATATCATGTATGCATCATGTTAATTATTATTAAAAATAGCATATTTAATGGTTATAGTTGTTATTATATGAAAAAATGCAAATAATTAGTTGGCATATAGATATGTCACCTACATGAAATTATGTGAATTTTAATTTCAAGAAGTAGAGTGACATGAAGTATATTATTTGAGAAGAATTATCGCTACACTTAAAAGTTGTTGTATTGTTTTAAGATCATGAAATAAAAAGATATTCTTATTTAGATATTATTTTGAGTTTCTTTAAAGGTTGGAGACCATTAATAAATTTGATGTTGTTCTTGTGATAAAGAACATAATATATCCTTGATTATTAGATTTCAAGTTTAAGTATATGATAAATGTTGCTTTATCATCTTAGATGTATTCTTTGTCATGTTGAAGTATACATATGATCAAGCCATACTGTCACGATCCAAAATTCATTAAAGGTCATGAGGGCGTCTAACACCGCAGTCAGGGAAGCCAACAATAAAAGATTATCTTAATTACTCATATTAGTATTTGAAATCATAATTTTCTTCAATTACATAGTACAAAATGAGATTTACAAAGTGAATGAAAATATTTTTGCAACTACATTAATGAATAACCCGTAAGCACCCCCAAAATCCGGTGTCACAAGTGCATGAGCATCAACTAGGAAGTAAAATAAAATACAGCATCTATCCGGGAGACAAATTAGACAAAAAAATACAAATAACTCTGAAGGAGACTCTGCTGGCTGTGGATCGTAACCTGAAATGAAGCTCACGGCAAGTCCCCGCATCATCCGTGCCTCCGCGCCCAAAAGACCACAGGACATAAAAGTACCTGCACAAAAATATACAGCAAGTGTAGTATGAGTACGTAAATTCACGTGTACCCAGTAAGTATCTAGCCTAACCCCGGAGGAGTAGTGACGAGGGGTCGATATCGACACTCACTAGTGGTCCAATAATATCAGGTGCAGTAAAGAGGCGAACAAATATGAGGCAGAGTAAATAAATAAAATAAATAAGTGTAAATATGTGGTACAATTCTTCTCGCTACAATAAACTCAAGCTCTCAATTAGCAAATTCCTCCTCAACTGGAGCACATATAAATATGTATAATGGACCTCACCAAATAGGTTGTAATAATTCGAATCAGGGAAAAAAACTCACATATACCCTGGCTTCTTGCCAAATATTACGCATGATTCCATGAGTATATTTAATAGAAATGCCAAGGCGTACAACCCGATTCAACATAAATATTAAATTGTGCACTACCGAGGGTCGAACAGCACGAACCATAGATGCGTCTATTAAACTGCCGAGGCGAATGTCGCGCTCCCATGAGAGTATGGTACATAATCCTGTCGAGGCGAACGTCCCGATCCCATTAGAATAAGAAGCTTTAACGGGTCCTTGACCCCACTCACGAATAAACGTATGAGTTATATTATTTAGGAAAACCTTTCGACGAAAACGCATAGCGCGGGAGATATCCGTAAGAGGAACACAATTATTCCTCGGCTAATCATGAAACTTGTCAAATCTCTACAATAACAAGTCTATCACTCTTTGCATGTCTAGTCTCAAGTCGTAATGCGAAATAAAGGAATTAAACGAGCAAAGATAACCCCTATAGTACAAGTATAGCATGGTGTGAACCTAAGTCTACCCGGACAGTAACATGAATATAGTTACGTACAGACTCCTGTCACCTCGTGCATACGTAGCCCCCACAACAAATAACACATATCATATACATCACCTAGGGGTAGTTTCACCCTTACAGAGTTAGACAGGAGACTTACCTCATCTCAATGCTTACTTTCCGGTCCAAAATTGTGCTTTAAATCCTCAACTCGGTGCCAAATGACCCGAAACTAGTCAAATGTTATATAAAATAGTCAATACATGATCAATAGTTCATATCCCAACTATTAAAGAGGTTTTTCCAACCCAAATTGAAGAATTCCTAAAATTCACCCCCGAGCCCACGTGCTCGGATTCCGAAAATCTTTGAAAAAAATTGTTACTCATAACCTCATGAACTCAAATATATGATTTTTATCTAATTCCATAATCATTTTCGTGGGTTAATCCCATTTTTATCAAAACCCTAGGTTTTTAATCTAAACCCTTGATTTCACCAATTTGTTTACATGTTAATCTACCCCTAATCTATGTATCTACCCTGTCAAGGTCGCAAATGCGACTGATTTCTCGTAAATGCTAGCTATGCCCAGATCAGGTTTCTTCGCAAATGCAAGGTTCGCAAATGCGAACTATTTCTCGCATTTGCGACACCTGCAACACCAAAAAAGTAATACCAGAAAACTGAAGCTTCATCCTTCCGAACATGTCCGAAACTCACCTGAGCCCTCGGGCTCCACAGTCAATATCCACACATGTCTAAAAAATATCATACGAACTCGCTCGCGCGATCGAAACACCGAAATAACATCAAAATTCACGAATCGGACGCCAAAATGCATGGATTAACTCATGAACTCAAAAACTTCTAAAATACTTTCACGCGTCCGATTCCTATCAAATCAACTCAGAATGACGCCAAATTTTGTGTGCAATTCTTAAATGATATTACAGAACTATTTCAGGTCTCAAAATCCTATTTTGATCTCGATAACACCAAAACTATTCCAAACCAAATTTAAAGAACTTCAAAAACCTTCAAAGAGCCAACTTTCACTATTAGGCGCCGAAACGCTCCTAGGTCATCCAAAACACGATCCATATATACGCCCAAGTCCGAAATCATCATACGTACCTATTGGAACCGTCAAATCTCAATTTCGAGATCGTTTACTCAAAAATTACACCTTAGTCAATCTTTCCAACTTAAAGCTTCCGAAATGAGAATTTTCTTTCCAAATTAACTCCAAACTCCCCGAAATTAAATTCCGACCACACGTACAAGTCATAATACTTGAAGTGAAGCTGCTCATGGCCTCAAACCGCCGAACGATGCTCTAAAGCTCAAAATGACCGGTCGGGTCGTTATATTCTCTCCCACTTAAACATACGTTCGTCCTGGAATGTGCTAAGAACTGCTCTGGAATTTGCCGAAAGCATTGGTCAACACCTCGTACACCTACCCGTGCTACCACAACTCAGTTGAGCACATTAGCTCAAGCCAGTCCGAAGATCCTCCCTTTTACTTAGTCAAATAAGCCTTAGAGCCAAATTCCAACATCCAAAATTCTCTACCAGGCCTGTTTCCAACATACGAACACCGTATCAGCCATTACTCGATGTACCAAAACATGATTATATACTTGTTCTGAATTCACACCATGCACCGCGTAATTCACATGACTATAATAACATCCTCTGACAACAATATCCACAATTCCAGGAATCTGATGCCCACAACACACCTCATGACACATATAAGTCATGTTCCAACTCTTGCAATACTTCCACGATGGAAGAGATGTGCAAAAATTTATAACCAACTGCTGGGTCAACAAATCATTGAGTTTCTCCTCCTGACAAGAACCATTACCTCATTATGAACCAAATAACGATATTGGCCCTTTAATATACCCTTTATAACTCCGATCGCACTGATCTCAGGTCCAATAACCTCACCTCGCCCAGTACAAGCCGCTCAGGCAATAAGCCATCTCAGACACTGCCAAAAGTCTCATATGATTCCATCAATGTGCCAACAGGCCACCACTCAAATATGATATATAAGGAAAAATGAACCTTGGGAAAGAACTACCCAACACACGTAACTAATACGACCACTGAAAAGATGTTATGAACCTTTTTCAGAGAATGAGAAACAAAATGCACAAGAATAGATATAGGGAACCATACCCATCATCTCGCTGTTGCGGCGTGCAACCCGATCCATACGTGATACCGTTGTGGCGTGCAACCCGATCCAAACAACATATCTGTGGCGTCGTGCCACCCGATCCACACATAACAATAAGTAAGAAAATACCCATCAAGCCATAATTCTAATACCTATGAAATACTCGAATATCGACCACAAGCACGACAAGTGCAGAAACACAACCCTGGGGAGACGGATAGCGCCATATGCTACAAAACCCAAGCACAACTAAGGTGCAATAAATGACCTGCATCTCGAGAGCCATCCTGCTCTCACAACACCAAAGACTTCATGGGATCTCAATACATGCGCGAATAATCAAATCATCTCACAACCCACATAGCACAATAGAGATTACATGGAATGGCTGACGATGGAAATGACATCCAAGGTTTGAAGACTCCTCCGTAAGCAGCTATGTTGAAATGAACACATTCACATTTAGATCCATCCACAGACCTCAAGCCGATTTTGATCGTACCGTACTGGGCTAATAACCTTTCAAGGATCCACAATAACCTTTTCCCATGACACACAAGAAGAACCGTCAATTCCAGAACAAACTCACAGGTCCACAACCCAAGGAATAAAATGCCTCTCAGGCGTAAACTCTCGCACTTGCGATATTACCATGACTTCCATATTTGGTTTCAATCTTTAACAATCAAGTGACTGACATGTCACACTTATACAAATCTCCCCATGGGGCATGCTCCTACGACCATTCCGCTCAGGTAGCAAAGTCCGCACATCCATGCCACCAACCGTTCTAATTCTGTAAAGTGAATCAAAAATCCGCAAGTCAATACACAAAGCCTCTTCCATATGACACCGACCTCAGGTGATGCTAAGGACAATAACAACTTACTATAAACATCCGAATTCTTTCCTGCTCATCCGACCTCGTAACATTCTTCTCAATACTGAACTGCAACCTTGATCCTCAGTTTCTAATTCACATGCCGCTCACTGCGCCTATTATGCTAATACGCGCGGGTATGAGAATTCCATCATAACTCATGAACCACTAATATAATAATCACCCCATCATATAGAGACCTTTTACTTAACTCATTTCAGGAGGACCATTGCAACACGCGACTGAATTTCCATAACCGCAGAAAATACAAACCTCAAGTTGTGGTCTAAACCACCGTAACTTTTTCGGGATCCATCTATACATAATAGGCCTTAATAATTGAATTCCTCCAAATAAATCAATTTACAGCAGCCATCAAGCCTCGTACGTACCACCACCAATCACTTGTATAACTTCACACGCTGAAGGAACTGATCATTGCCACCATCACACCGATTCAACTATTGCTAATCG